TTTTTTTTTTAATTGGGGAATTGGGGAAGGGGAACACTGTTGGGGAATTGGGGAAGGGGACCAGCCAAGTTGTTGTCTTCAATCTTAGTTGTGGAGGGCACAGCTAGCTCAGCTTCAAGACCATCACTATCTGGCTGCCTTATGTCAGCCGCTCAGCTCAAGGTGTGGGGATGGAGGGGTGCAGCCTGTGGGAATTTCATGTGGGAATCAAACTGGCAACCCTGTTAAGAGTGCATGTTCCTGGGCCGGCCAAGTGGCTCAGTTGGTTAAGAGCTCACTCAAGATTGCGAGCTCTGAGCAACAGGGCCGCTGGCTCAAGCTGAGGTACCACTGAGCTGCCAACAGGTGGCAGGATGGCTCAGATAAAAAAAAAAAAAAAAAGATTGCATGCTCCAACCACTGAGCCATCCGGCTGCCCCAAATTTTAACTATTTTTGAATGATTTGCTCTCATTTAAACCACTTGTCAATTCCTTTAAAAAATTTTTTGTGTTTATGTAAAATCTGCAGGAGGTTAAGTGTAAACTCTTAATTGTTCATTGTTTTCATTATTTACCTACACACTGCCCTTAGGGTTGCTAAAAGCTTTTGTTTTTGTTTTTGTTTTTATTGGGGAACAGTGTGTTTTCTCCAGTACCCATCAGCTCCAAGTCAAGTCGTTGTTCTTCAATCTAGTTGTGGAGGCTGCAGCTCAGCTCTGAGTCCAGTCGCAGTTTTCAATCTAGTCGCAGGGCGGGGAAAGCCCACCGTCCCATGCGGGAATCAAGCTGGCAACGTTATTGTTAAGAGCACGTGCTCTAACCAACTGAGCCACCTGGCTGCCCTTATAAGTTTAAATACAATCATACAAATAAAAAATTAGAACAGTGTTGGCATAAATTAAGCAATTGTTAGTAATTATAAAATCTTTAACTTGATACTTTTGTATTTTAGCCTAGTAAGCGTTTTTAAGTAAGTTTTTTAAGGTGTTAGCGATTAAGGTTAAAATTTATGTTACTCTGATATTGAAATTAAGTCAGACTTCCCCATGAAAAGCAGTAGTGTCAGATTCTGCACAGCGCAGCAGACTTTAAATTCATGTCTATATTGGAAATATAATGCAAAAGATGGCAGTATGGAAACATGTTGCTATAATCAAAACTTTAAGTAAATGTGATATATTTTTTAATGCAATCTCAAGGAAAGAAGAACTTCATTCTGTAAACAAAATAGATAATAACAAAACAAAATAGGTAAAAACAAGTGATGCTTAGTTAGGAATCAGGAAATTGATTTTGAGGCATTGTGATTTGTTGTCTTCATTTTTTCCAGGAGTCTTTATTAAAAGAAAATACACAAAAGGAACTGGTAAAAATTCAACTTGAAGGTGTTGCAGAACAAACAGATGACCTGCAAAGGGAGGTAAAATCTTCACATAAAGGGCCCCCTCCCCACCCAGCCCTTGTGAGCAATTGCACTGGGGCTGGAAGGTTCTGATTAGATCAGGGCAGCCTGTTCCTTTTAGGAGGTGTGCTCTAGGTGCTTTATGATCAAATTGGTCTCAACCTGGCCCATTTCTATGCTTTAGTGGGGAAAGACTCCTGACTTAATTTCTATTGTCACCTTTGCTAAGGGAAGAGTTGGGCAGTCACCTTGCCATTTGACCATCATTTTCTCCTGTGAACCAAATTGTGGAGTGGGATTCAAAGATCCCTGCAGTTTCTTCCTTGTCCTAAATTCACTGCATAACTGAGCATATGGTGGGCATGGGTTCTCATAAGCACTCCACCAAATGCCAGGACCCCCACATGCTGCATCTCAGGGGGCAAAGCCAGCAGAGCCCAGGTCTGTTGTGTGCTGTCGTGCTTCTGATTGTGGGCTTTGAATGGCAAGTGAGCTCGTTTTGACATCAGGGAATTTTTTATTCTGTATATCCCATGTCAGATGAACGGTTTTTAGTGATCCCCCAAAAGAAATCTCCCCATTCACAGATGGTACGGGAGGCCTATTGTCAAATTTATAATTTTTACTTATGAATTTCGTGTGTGTGCACATATATATGTGTGTATGTACTTAGATATATATATGATAGTGCATATATACACATATGTATCTATTCTGTGTCTCTCAACATCCACACACATCCACAGCCATGCACCCTAAAAAAAGTATTAGCTTGGCTCCTGTTCATTTAGACTTAAAGACGATTTGGGAAGAGTTTAAGAGTTTAAGCGTGGTTTTAAGTACCTTAGCAAGCAGACATTTGATAGGAAGTGATAAACTGATTAAAATAAATTCTCTCTATCAATTAAAGAAGGTTATCTTTGTAATTTGACTAGAAAACACTTTTAGACCCAGTCTGAGTTACTTTACATTCCTGAAAATTACAAACTTTCCTTTTACAAATTATAACATTCCTAATGAAAGCAACAGCTGAGGGCAGCCAAGTCATAGTCTCTGGGCTAACAGCTTTACAGACATCATCAGATTACTCTTCATAAAGTCCCAAGGGTAGTGTTACTGTTGCCCCATGTTATTGATGAGACTAGAAGATGTTATGTACAGTTCTCCAGCTTGGGAAATTGGGCCTAAAACCCAGTTTACCTGACTCCTCAACTAAGTTCTCATGGCAAATACAAATTATCGGGTTGTTAGAAAAGTCATGACGTATTTTTTCTATGTTTTCATTGCAAAAATGTGTCAAGACTTTTCCGACAACCCAATAGTAAGATTTTTTTCTTCCTATGTCCTTANGCAAAAACACACCCATTATTTTTTGCAGTCTCTTTCATTTGTACTTGCTGAAGGTGTGTCTGTAAACTATCTGAGGAAATGACAGACCAGGCTCTGCAAGCAAACACATTTGGAATCCGTTGCCATAGATCCAAGTCAAAGATGAGCATTTACACTGCAGCCTAAGATGAGCAGTGTAACAAAATTTGCACCAGACCTGGGGCCCACTCTGAGATCAGTTATTGTTTTCTGTGTGACCCCCAGAGAAGTCAGTGGTCTGATCTGAGAATAGGGGCTTAGTGCTTCCCGTTTACCTCCTACTGTACAGTTGCTGTGAGAACGAGATCAAGTGTGGTCCCTGGGAGCCTCGTGGTGTGCTCTGCCCATATTACGATTTTCTGTTTGTATTACAAAATAGCATATGCACACCGTGGGAGAATGTGCAGACTGTTTTGCTTTAATTTTAACTTTCTTTTTCTTTTAGCCTGTGATGATGAATGTGTAGGGGTGCTGCTGAATGACTTAGACAATATTGGCAATCCCATTCTTTCTGTGAACCTCACCGGCTTTATCCCTGTCCTGAATGGAATTTTGTCACACCTGGAAAACAGAACTAAGCATCTCGGGGTAGGTACTGGGAATACAGAAATGAATAGAAACTGTGTCAGCTGAGAGATAGAGAGTTGGTGGGGACTGTAGGAGTCATTCTGTCTGACCCCCACCTCGTCTCATTCCCAGTGTTCACTGCTGGTAGCTTCCCCTTGAATGTGACCAGGAAATGCATCACCCACTGCTACCTTATTTTACTGTAGAACAGCTCTAATTGCTTAAGAGTTGTTCATTAGATGTCTTTTTATAAAGTCTACCCCCACGGTCCTTCTGCCTTTTGAAATAAGACAAAGTCTATTCACTCTTCTTTGGATATTTGAAAATAGCTGTCCTAATACAAATACAGGAAATAAATCTAGATAGTATCTTCTTTAATGTTGGAATAGGATAAAGATCAACTATGTTCTGTAAATGTATTATTCCTGTTTTTTTTTAGCTGAGCCATTCTGTCACCTGTTGGCAGCTCAACTGCAGCTCAGCTCGGGCCGTGAATCGAACTGGTGACCCTGTTGCTCAGAGCTCGCACTCTTGAGTGAGCTCTTAACCAACTGAGCCACTCGGCCGGCCCTTGTAAATGTATTATTCTTAACTGGAGTTTCAGGACACAAAAGTTTCTCCAACCTGGAAGATTATATAGAAATCTCTGTGAGGAAATCACAGTTCTATGTTTAGTCAACAGGATTTGGGTCCAAAAAACGGGTGGGAAGTTAAGAAATTGACTTAGTAGACAGCATTCTATGCTAGTATTTTTAATGCTAATTGGAAAAAAAATTCTTAATTTTGCTTAAAACTTAT